GAGAAACTTGTCATGCCAACACAGCCCTCCTCAGGCCTGACACCCTAAATTGTGATGTTTAGGGTTTTGTTGATTTTCCGTCTCTCCACACTAGAATACAATATTCCCAAGCAGGGAGTTGGGTCTTTTTGTTGTCTACTAAATTCCCACCTCTTAGAGTATGGCCTGGTACCAGCTGGACTCAATACCCCAGAAGTGGACACAGCCATTCCTGTCTATGACCAAAGAGGGTGGGCAGTCCCCTGGGCCCACGTGCAGCCCTGCTGGTTTTCCACCAAAGCCATTTACAAAGCCAGGAGAAGCCACAGAGAAACAGATTCAGGTGTCCAGTGGCTAGAAAGGCAGTGTTCTTCCTCTCTGTTCCTGGCCTCCCTTTCTCCCGTCTCCCAGTCTGGCAGGGGAAGGCAGGGCAGCCAGGTTGGACTCTGCCCTCCAGGGACCCAGGGGAACCAGCCCACTTATGCCTCCACAAAAACACCAAACAGACCAGGGCACATACTGGTACAGGACCAGCAATGCCCACAGACAGGTCCTGGACACAGAGCCCAATAAATGCAGTCGCAGACGCACAGGGGGCCACAGGAGGCTTGGGGCAAAGCCAGGGTGAAGCCAGCAGCCACCAGCAGGGGCCTGGGCGCTGGGCAGAACGTCTGGCGCCGGCTCAGCCCAGGCGGCCCTCCACTCCCTGCTCCGCCACACTGAGGCCGGCCAGCCTTCCTTCCTGAGTGGGTTTCCTGGCCCCGCCCTACAGTTGCCACGGAAACCCGGAGCAGCCCAGTCCAGGCTGGTTCCCACGGAGCCCCTGCGGAGCCGCCTTGCTGCCTTGCTGGGGAGGCCCACACACCACGCCGCAACACTCAGGAGGACACACACATCCATGCAGCCCCCAGGGCAGAACACCCCTGGAGGGTTGCCCAGCAGCACCCCCCAAGCGTGCGCAGCATGGGACACCCCTGGAAGTGGGCACAAGCTGGGATAGCACCCTCCGCACCTGCATGCCCTCCACAGCACAGCACCCCAAACTCTGGAGCAGTCTTCAGACATCACCGGGACCCTGGACGCACCCTGCTGCTTGTGACCTGCTCACTGACTCCATAGGACATGTTCCAGGCTGCCTTTGGCTTTCACACCCCCAGCTCATGAAAAGACAGACATGGACACCCCAACACAGCCTGTGCCCCGCAACACAGAAAAGTCCCCACCCTGTCTGGCTTGCCCTGGAGCACCCAGGGGAGGTAAGATGCACCCCACACAACAGTCTGAGTGTCACTCCTTAGACTACAACAGCACCCACTGGTCTCGCATCGCGCACTAGCAGGCCCCACATAACCACACCCTCACTGCCCCACCAGTCCAACACCCCACAAGCATATCCCAGTGCCCACACCACCATCTAGCACTTATGCAACTGAGTCCACTTAATGTGGTGAATTGTGCACTGAACCCTGACCCCAACCCAGCCTTTTAAAGCATTTGTACCCACTTGGGTCTGTTTGCACCCTCATGCCAGGTGTGCCCAGGCTGCTTCTGCCTGCCTCACTTGCCCTTCCAGGACTGAAAGCAAGGCACAGAGCAGAAAGTTACACTGTCCTCAGAAAAGGCTGAGTGTCCACCTGACCCAGACCTGTCACTGGCAGAGTCACACACACCCACTGGTTCTGAGACATCAGGCCCTGACCACAGGAGAGAGGTCAAGGATGACCCCATTCTCACATTCTCCCTGCTGCATCTTCTGGAGGCTGGACCTGGAGCCCAGAAAGGCAGAGGTGGGCAGCTGGCTCCAAAGCCAAGGTATCAGAGGACCAGAGGCACTCTCCACCTGGAGCCCCATCCAACAGGGACCCACCCCATCCTCTGGGAGTGGAAGTCTAATTGGTCCCAGCCTCACTGTTCCTGAATCAGCCAGGGCCCGGCTGGTGGGAGTCTGGGAGGTCTGTGCCCAGGCAGCGCCTGGGAGGTCCCTTACCCCCAGCCCAGAGCTGAGCTGATCCCCCACCCAGAACCACTGAAGGGAGTACCCAGCATCCTCTGCAGGCTTCCCAGCAGCCAGGATCCAGTCCAGACTGAGGGAGAGGAGCAGGTAAAGGGCAGGGAGGATAGGGTCCACTGGATGTCTACCTTGGCTCCACTCTTGCAGAGAAATGTTGCCCCTCATTCCCCATTTCTGTGGGCTGGGGCTAGAAAAAGGGTTCCCATTAGGGTGGGCAGCAGCAAACCAGGCCAGGCCAGGCTGAGGTGGGCTCTAAAGATAAATGTGCCCTCATTTGGAGACAGAGCTAGGACCGCAGCTCAGGGAATTGAGGGCCATATTTTCCTCAGCAGGACCCCTGGTCTTCAACCCACAAGTCTTCATCTTCTTATGGGAGAGTCCAGCTTGTCCGGCTCTCCAGACCCTGGGTAGCCTCCAGCACTAGGGTCCACCTCACCTCACAGCCAGGCGGATAGGCACCACGCAGACCACACACAGACAGCAGTCTCTCCACCAGATGCCACTCCCCCGGCACAGCCAGCCACACCTACACCAGCCCTCCTACAGCCCTGGGGAGTCCCTCCAACCCGAGGCTCCAGGGTCAGGGCCACCCAGCTGACGGCAGTGCCCTCCCCCATTGTTGTCCCATCTGGACAGTGGGCGGGGCTGCCATCCTCACCCCTGCCAGGCAGCACAGAGAGGGCAGCCCGACCCTGCAGAAGGAAGGTAGCACCCCACCAGGCTCCCGGAGCCCAACACACAGGACATGACAGCCGGACACCTGAGTCTCACAGCTCAGCCAAGAAGGTCACTGGCTGGCGCCAGGGGAGGTGACTACTGGAGGGACATGTGCAGGGTGGAGGAGGGGGTGATGAGGTAATGCCGGACACAGCAGGCCACTATGTTCGGAGCACTCGGATGACTCTGGGTCCTTAGGGGCTGCAGAGTGTCTGGCAGAGCCCCAAGGGAACTCTAAATCCACCCAGTGTTGGGGGGGCCTACTACAAAGGACCCTGGAGACCATCTTCAGGAGCCCCAGGGACCATCACTGCAGACCACTCTCTGCCCCTGCTGAGTCAAGCCCTGGCAACCCCAGCCTTCCCTGGTGACCCCAGGCTGCACCAGCTCTGGGTAGAGAGAGCCTCTGTCCAGCACTTCCCAGTGGGAGACCAGGGTGGCCCTGACTCTTTGGACCCGTTCCCCAACCTGGAATACTAGAAAAGCTTTCCATCCTCCACTATGCCCCCTACTGGCTGCCCAGTCCACCTACCCGCAATGAGACCTGGCCAAGAGAGTTGGCACCACTATAGAGCCCTGTGGTTTGGTCCACCTCCATGCCCACCACCACTGCCTATCTCGTGAGAAATGCCAGAAGCCCCCCTCCTGGGGCCCCAACTGCTCCTCATGCAGGAGGTACTAGGGCCAGTGATGGACTGGGGAGATCTAGAAAGCAGCCTGGGAAACCCAGTCTTTTATTGGCCTATGTGACAATCTGTGAAGCAGGGATGATGGACATGGGACAGTCCTCAGGCTGAAAGACCCTTGGGGTTCCAGCCTCTCCCTGGGACAGGAGTGCCCTGGGGACAGCTCAGGAACAGCCACCAGGGATTCATACAGGACCTACCCCATTCCTCAGGAGATACTGCCTGTGGTCTAGAAAACCACCAGAGACTACACATGCCTGGAGTGCCTGACTTCTGTGGCCTCAAATCATGGTGCTCAGCGGGAGGGGTACTCTGGCATGATAAGGGGAGGTGTAGAACATCCAGGTGGATGTTAGGATGGAGATCCTGACCCCAGCTGGGCTGCCCACAACAGTCCACCTTCCCTAATAGAACCATACTTGGAGCCAGGTGTGGTGGCCATCCTGTAATCCCAGAGGCTCAGGAGGCTGAGGCAGGAGGATCACAAATTCAAGGCCAGCCTCAGCAACTTAGCAAGACCCTGTATCTAAATAAAATTTTTAAAAATGTCTGGAGATGTGGCTCAGTGGTTAAATGCCCCTGGGTTCAATCCCTGGTGGAAGGAAGGAAGGAAGGAAGGAAGGAAGGAAGGAAGGAAGGAAGGAAGGAAGGAAGGAAGGAAGGAAGGGGGAAGTTCCCTGGATGAGAGCCAGCAGCTTCTGGAGCTCAAACCCTTCCTGATGTGCATCAATGGACATAGGGAACATTAGCCAAGCTGGAGGTTCTTCTGGAACGGCCCCACAGGCTTGTGGGCCCAAGGGAGGAAACCTCAAAGAAGACCCCAGTGCTCCCCTGCCTCCCTGGCCCCACCTGGTCCAGCCTCCTTGCTCTGTCTGTCCTGCTGGCCCCTGCAGGGCAGGGGAGCTAGATGCCATGGGTTCCAGCTCCACCACGCAAGAGTTGGAGAGTGGGGATGCGGCCAGGGTCCCTGCACACCCAGACTCCCTGCTTCTTGGGGTCCCTGTAGGGTTAGCCTTGCTCCACAGTGGAGGGTTTGGGAGTGAAGGAGGGAAAAATAGGCCCATCTTCTCCTCTAATCCCTGGGACAGGCTTGGAGTTGAAAGTCCCCAATGCTAAATTCCAATTGCAAGCGCTGGAGGGTTGGGGGGAAAGGAACACCTCAAAACACAGGCGCTTTTCCCACGGTGATTGACTAGGGAAGGCGGCCTCCCAAGAACTTTGTGCTAAAATAAATCTGCCTCTTTCCAACGCAACCTCATGGCACTGCCCACTCCCCCACTTACTGCCTGGGGGTCTTTCTCCGTGGGTGGGGCGGCGGCAACTCGGCTCCGAAAGCCTTACAACCTCAGGAGGACTCCCTCCTTCCAAACCCCACCCCAAACCAGCGGCCTTCTCCTACTGGGGGTCTCTCCTTCAGAGACAGTGCGGGGGGGGGGGGGCTCTGCGCACGGGAGGCCTTGGCGGGATCCGGCCCAGCCCAAGAAGAAAGGGAGCCCCCGGGGGAGGGGGCGGCCCTGGACCCGGCCTGCCCCGCCCCAGCCTGCCAGACCCGCAGCCGATTGGCCCCTCGCCGCTATATCTGGGCGCCCGCCCGGCACAAGGCCACCAACATCCCCACCGTTGCCCGCCGGCTGCAGGTCTGTCCTCCGCGTCCTGCCCCACAGTGCCCACCATCCTTCCTCTGCGCTTCCGCGCTGCGTTCTGCCCAGGCCGCGCCCAGCTGGAATGCAGAGATCGCCGCCCGGCTACGGCGCAGACGACCCGCCCGCCCGCCGCGACTGTGCATGGGCCCCGGGCCCCGGGGCCGCCGCTGAGCCGCGCGGTCTCCCCACCGCGCCCGTCGTGCCCGCCGCGCCCGCTTCGCCACCCAGCCCGCCACGCAGTCCGCCACGCAGCCCCGAGCCGGGGCGCTATGGCCTCGACCCGGCCGGCCGCGGGGAACGCCAGACTGCCGACGAGTCGCGCATCCGGCGGCCCATGAACGCTTTCATGGTGTGGGCGAAGGACGAGCGCAAGCGGCTGGCTCAGCAGAACCCGGACCTGCACAACGCGGTGCTCAGCAAGATGCTGGGTAAGCGGCGGAGCAGGGGAGGGGAGGGAGTAGGAGGGCTGGGGGACTTGGGCTGGGGCGCTGGAGATTCGGGCCCGGGCAGAGGGGTCCGAGTCATACCCTCGCAGCTTGCCCAGGTGGCACGCTGGGTCCGATGGGCCGTGCACCCGACGGCAGTCAACTCACCTGTGTGCGCGGCCCGCAGGCAAAGCGTGGAAGGAGCTGAACACAGCAGAGAAGCGGCCCTTCGTGGAGGAGGCCGAAAGGCTGCGTGTGCAGCATTTGCGCGACCACCCCAACTACAAGTACCGACCCCGACGGAAAAAGCAGGCGCGCAAGGCCCGAAGGCTGGAACCTGGCCTCCTGCTCCCAGGCTTGGCGCCGCCGCCGCCGCCGCCACCGCCGCCTCCTGAGCCCTTCCCGGTGGCGCCTGGCTCCGCGCGAGCCTTCCGCGAGCTGCCCCCACTGGGTGCCGAGTTCGACGGCCTGGGGCTGCCCACACCCGAGCGCTCACCGCTGGACGGCCTGGAGCCCGGCGAGGCCGCCTTCTTTCCGCCGCCTGCGGTGCCAGAAGACTGCACGCTGCGGGCCTTCCGTGCGCCCTATGCCCCGGAGTTGGCCCGGGACCCCAGCAGCTGCTTTGGGGCGCCCCTGGCCGAGGCGCTCAGGACCGCGCCGCCCGCCACACCCCTCGCTGGCCTCTACTACGGTGCCCTGGGCACGCCGGGCCCATACCCCAGCCCGTTGTCGCCGCCGCCGGAGGCCCCACCGTTGGAGGGAGCTGAGCCACTGGGGCCCGCCGCTGACCTCTGGGCAGACGTGGACCTCACCGAGTTCGACCAGTACCTCAACTGCAGCCGGACTCGGCCTGACGCCTCTGCGCTCCCATACCACGTGGCTCTGGCCAAATTGGGTCCACGCACCATGACCTGCCCAGAGGAGAGCAGCCTGATCTCAGCGCTGTCAGATGCTAGCAGCGCTGTCTACTACAGCGCCTGCATCTCGGGCTAAGCCGCTGCCTGCTTCCTCCTGTAGCCACTGCCCTCTCCTTCTTGCAGATATATGTTTTGACTATGCCACAGCCTCAGGACGCTGGCAGCTTGCTGCCTGTCTTCCTGCCACCATCCTGACTCTGGGGGTCTTGAGGGCCTCTCCCAGGAGTTGGGGCTTTTGCAGGAGCCGCAGCCTCGGACCTGCTGGCTGGCCCTGCCTGGGTTCAGCTTTTCAAAGCACTTAGTTCTTTCCCTGCAATGTATCTTCTAGAACCAGATTTTTTTTTTTACTTTCCCTTTTTTTATATACATAATACAATATATTTAATTTTTAATTAAACTTTTTTTTCCAAGGGGTTTCAGTGATCACCAGCAATTATGTAGCAAGGGCTTTTAAAAACAAGGAATAACAATGTTGGTTTGCTGTAAAAGAGGGAACAGGATCTGGGTTCCCCTGGCTCAGGGGCCACAAATAAAGTGTGGGGCCTTCCCTCTGCATACCTGTGTGTTGGTTGTTGGGGCAGGAAGAGTATCATCCGCAAGAGTCCTCCACCTGCCTTCCTCCTGATCTCCCTAGGGAGCTGACCCCAGATGAGCCCCATGGGTCCAGGGCAGCAGCCCCTTGACAGCAGTCACAGGTCACCCTCCCAGCCTGCTCTAACTTGCCCCAACCCCACTGTGACTCAAAGGACTGAGTTGGACAAGCCAGCAATCCCCCAGGCCCTTACCCCATCATGCTCATCTGCTTCCTAAAACTGTCAAGCCCAGGGGTTGGCTGCCCAGAACAGCATCCCTCGCCCAGTGCCACCACAGGCCTGACACCTATGGACAGACACAGCACCCCAGGGCCCCTGCAGGAGTTCCCACTCACCCCCACATCCCAAAGAAAGGCAGCACCCACCCAGGCTGTGCCCACCCTGCTCCCCACAGTGAACTATCCGGCCTCTGCTTGCACAGTGTTGATGACCAGTCAAAGAGCCCCAGACATCAAGCCTCAAGCTCTCCAACTGTGGAACCCCAATCATACTATCCCTGGGCCCCTCCCAGGAGGTCTGGACCCCACTTTCCATACCACCTCCTTGGGCCTCCCAAGTCCTTTCAAAGCCTCTCACTGAATGAGGTCTCCTTTAGGGAAGGGTACAACAATCACCCCCAGAGGGGATCCTGATTATTCATACCCCCAAGACCTCCCAGTTCTTCTCAGCCTAGAGGAGGGGTCCTATTTTCCCTACCTGGGGAAGGAGCCTGTCTTACCCCAGTGCCCCCATGGCATACACCAGGGGTTGTGCAGATGGACTTTAAGAGTCATCACAGCTTGGTGTCAGATGTGGGGTGTGAGCACACAGCCTGGGAGTGGGACAGACTCTCAGTATGGCCCCCACCCACTATCTGTTGGAGAGCACAGAGAACTCAGAAACAGGACAGAGACACACAGAGGGGACAGAAACAGACAAGCTGGGGGAGAAGGAGAAGGAGGGTTCAGCTTGTCCTCTGTTTGAACTCACTGAAAGGTGCCCAAGTGCCTCCCTGTTTGGGGTGGGGCATGTTCCCAAGGAACTCACCCCAGCCACACCTGTAAACACACAGAAGTGATGAACAGACATGCTGCAGCAGGCCAGAGTGACATTCATCCCCCCCAGAAGGGCTGCTCCTCTAGGTCAATGGGGTGGCAGTTTAGCCCACAGTCTGTGTGAGGAGATCGCAGATCTCCAGTGTCAGGGTCCCTGTTTGGGGCAAGTCCTAGGGGCTTGTAACATTGACAGTAGAATCGTGCCCACCAAGGGCAGCTCCAACAGTGGCTCCTCAGCAGCCTTGGGTGGCCTCCCGGCAGGACCCTCTTCCCAGCACCTCTTCCCTCTCCCTCAAGGATGGAGCTACCCTCCAGCTGGACCCCAGACCATGGCTAGTCTTTCCCTCCTTGCTCTATAGGTCTCCTTCCTGGGGGGGGGGGGTTCTGATCTCCCTCTCCTTCTCCATGTTCAGAACCAGGCTCTCCCTCACTTGGATGAAGTGTCGAACCTCTTCAACAAGGAAAGGGGTGCTGAGAGAAGATAAGGTGCACTTCTGTCCCCAGCAGGCATGCTTATTACCTTGAGCACCCTAAGGACACCAACACATGCCRCCTGAAGATACACATTGGGGCAGACAAGGGGGGCAGGTGTGTTTGGAGTCTATGTCCTCCTCCTCCTCCACTCACCTGGACACTAGAAAACTCGACCACTTAACTTACATTCTACAAAACCTACACAAACATTTTATCTTGTGATGCTGGGGATTGAACCCATGGGTGCTCTACCACTGAGCTACATACCCAGCCCTTTTTATTTATTTCGAGACAGGGTTTCTGAGGCTGGTCTCAGAGTTGCAGTCCTCCTGCCTCGGCCCTGCAAGTCACTGGGATTATAGGTGTGCACCACTGAGCCCAGCCTACATGACATATTCATAGAGTTGTGAACCATTATGAGGGTCTCATTTTAGAGCTTTTTCATCACCCCCCCACCCCCATAAGAAACCCAACATTCTCCATTTTTCCCATGCCCTGCCCCTAAACAATTCTAACCTGCTTTTCATCTTATGGATTTGCTCATTCTGGACATTTCATACACACGACTCCCCTTATCCACCCAATCACTTTTTGTTACTTAAGATTAACAAGAAGAGGGTAGCACAGCATGAGGTATCTTGAGAGAAGACATTCACACACTTTTCTTACAGCCATGTTGAGTTGTTCTATATTATCAGTTGTCGGTCTCAATGTGCTTAATTTGTGAATTAACCCTGATCATAGGTCCCTGTCTAGAGAAAGCAGTGCACAGGACTCAGTATTGGGCTGAAGACTCAGGCAGCCCTGGGGTCTTGGAAGTGTGCCCTATAAGGGGCGGCTGTATGTGGAATCAGGGTGCGGGGCACCGCCCGTGTAGTAGCATGCGACTGAATGTCATTCCTTCTCGCTGCTCATAGTCTGCGTGGTGCCACTTTACCTACTCCCCAGCGGTTTTATCCTCTGGCTGTTGTAACCCTGCTGCGAACCAGTCCACGGAGGAGGGCCCAGGAGGAGAACCTGGGAGGGGTTCCGGGCCCAGCCTGTGCTCAGGGTAGGCAAGAGGGCACCGCGCACCCCTTCGCGCGGCTCTCCCGGGGKGTCCCTTCCCTGGGACCCCGCCTCTCGGCGCGCCCCGTCTCCCACGACCCCTCCGCCGGCGTGAGAAAACAGGAAGCGTCGCGCGGCGGCGCTGGGAGCGAGGGCAGGAAGCGGTGCTTATCTCGGGCCGCAGCCTCGACCCCTGGCCTCACGCCGGGCAGGGGGCGCCTGGGGCAGCTCAAGGACAGGGCTATTCGTTTGGCAGGGAGCCTTGGCGGCCTCTCCCCAGCGCCACAACTAGGCCATGCGGGGGTCAGGGAGCGACAAGGTGGAAACTGCTGTCAASGAGCCCCCCAGGGCACTTCGGACTGAAGTCCCTCCGCAGATAGGAGCAGAGTCCAGTCAACACGGTCAGGAGATGTCCCCAGGAGACGCCTCTGACCCCACGGTGTCCCACCACCAGCCCCTGAGGGCCTGACCGTTTAATTTCCCCCAAGCAAGGACTCACTTCCCACAGCAGGTGCGACCTCCTTGCTGGTTCTTCCGGATTTTAATGGAGGGAATGGTTGTTTCTGTGTTTACAAAACTGAGTCTTTTCCTGGGGAGGGGCAGGATGGCAGCTTTCCCTGGGCCTCCCCCAAGGTCCTGAAGGCCACTGGCAGGGACAATGGGTCTCAGCACCTGGCACTGGCCCCCAGTGAGTATGTGCTTCCTGGGGTGGGGGTTGTTTGTTTCCAAGTCCACCACAGCTGGAGCAGGCAGCCTCCTTGCACACCTGCAGGTCTTGGGACCCCACACTCACACTCACACGAAAGGGCCAAGAGCCCACAAAGCCAGGCATCTTCCAGGTCTGGGAGCAGGTGTTTCCTCCCTGGTCTCCCTGCCTGGGCTGCAGCCCTGAGCCCATTCGGCACCCACACCAGGCATGCAGCAGAGCTTATTTGCCCAGAGTCTGCTTGGCTGAGTCTCCATGCAAAGGGGTCACAGRGAAGACAGCCCTCATCTTTCCCATCCCTCCCTTCTTCAGCTCAGCAACACTCCTGGGCTGGGTGGTGGGTAGTGGGATGCGGGGGAAGGTGCTGCCCCAGTCCACAAGAGGCTGCAGCTGTCACCCCGGTAGAGGTAGAGGTGGGAGGTGGGGCTGGGTGGGGAACACACAAGTGGCAAAGTCAGGATTAACTTTTGGTTTTGCAAATCCAGAGACTGGCTTGCCTGTCACCCAAGTTCCAGATGTTCTTTCAAAGGCTCCCAGTCTGGGAGGCCATGGAACCCAGGCTCCCTTCAAAGCCTGCCAGGCCCCCTCCTCCCAGTGCTGCACATGGGGGGCCTTGCTCCTGGGCTGCAGGAAATTGCACAATCCTAGCCAGTGCCCTGCAGGCCCCATCTGCCACCCTGGCACAGCCCCCTCCTTTGGGGCCATACCTCCTACATCCCTGGAAACAGCTGAGCCTTGAGAAGGCATGCATGGGACAGAGCAAGACTGTCTGCAGACTCCAGCCCCATACATGGTAGAGTCCCTGCGTCTCTGGGCTGGTTCTGGTTAATTCCAGCCAGCAAATGTCTATGGAAGAGCTCCTGCTGCTGGTCTGTGCCAGATGAGAGTGAGGACAACATGACCTGTCCTCTCAGAGCTACAAAGAGACCACAGGGAAGCTGCCCCTGGGGTCCCCATGGTGAGATTGAAGAGCTCAGCTTCTCAGGGTCTAAGCAGGCACTTAGCTTCTCCTCTGGTCTCCATGTCTTGGCAGCTGAGTCTTGGTGTGCCTGTGCACCTGGTCTTGCTCTAAAAGAAAAAGACCCTACAGTGGGTTGAAGCCCCTCTCCCCCAGGTTGATGCTGGCATGCCCCCTACAGAGGAACTATGGGCCTGGGCTTCTCTCCCATTGGCCCAAGAACTCAGGCATCAACCTGTGTCACCAAAACTCTGAGGTTTCTGCCTGTCCTCCAGCCAGCCCCCAGAACACTGTGGTTTGTTTCATCTTTCCTCAATCACAAGGGCCAGGAGCTGCCCTGCTGCCCACCCACCTTCCCAGCCAGATTGCTCTGAACAGGGGGTCACTGTGGGCAGGTAGAAGCAATGGTGGAACACTCAGAGGTGACTCCCAGCTGTTTATTACAGCAGTGCTCTTGCTTTCCCCAGGGTGGGAAAAAATGGGTCCAAGAGAGTCCTGGTTAAGCCTGTTCATCCTGTCCCTGCACTCAGCCCAGACACACCTCCCAGTTCCTGCTGACCTTCTCCAAACCCCCACTTAACTGCCCTGGTCATGCTGCACTACACCCTATGCTCCAACAAACTGGAACTTTTTCTCCCCACCTGGACTTGGCCACACTTGATTATGTAAAGCAGAGGTCACTGAAGGGAGTCACATTCAGCCCAGGTTCATGCTGCTGAATTCCCTCCACTTCCCCGCTATCGTCCCCAATGCAAGAGGAAGCTTTCCTCCATGTCCTGGGATCCCAGGGTCTTCTTCATGTCTTCTCCTTCATTACCCCTTCATGTCTGGCACCCATCTACACACAGGCCCCGTCTAAGGTGCAGGAAGCCCCAGGTAGGTTCCAGCACTTGGGCCATGCCTGGCATCCCCACCTCAACACCTCTAGCACTTGCCCACACTACCCCCCATGGAGCACACAATGCAGAAAGCAGGTCTGGGCTGTTCTGTACTCGTGCTCAGAGGTGGCCTGGAAGACTGTCAACAGGTCAGAATCTGAAGTCCAGGAAGCCCCGCCCCCTGTCCACAGTGCTTTGGTGGGGTAGAGCCAGCTCTTACAGTTCCTGTGTGATTTGGGCCCCAGCTTCCCCACCCGTGAAGCAGGGACAACAGCTCCCTTTGGGAAGACCCAATGTGTGTGATGGGGAGCCGGTGGGGATGGGATTCGTGGCTGATTGCCTCAACCAAGGCCAGTCTCTCCATGTCCTACAGGCACGGGGCAAGGTCTGCCTCCACTCCTCCTGTTCCAGAGCAAAGGCAGGTGCCCAGCCCATGGGCATTACCTCTCTTTCCCATGGGCTAGGGGCGGTACTAGGGACCAGCCAGGCGGTCCGCGGACAGGGCTGGGGCAGTCTCTGGAGGCCCCCCGCAGTGACCACCCCCCTGAGGCCGCAGGAAATGGCCTGGCCAAGCTCGYGGCCAGGGGCGGCAGTGCTGGTTTCCCTTCAGACCTGTTTCCTTTATCCGGTTGTTTTGCTCCAAACTCACCAAGCTTAGCTTCCCCTCCCCTCCATTTCCACCTCCCGCCTCCGGTCCAGAAAGGAGCAGGACGGATATTTGACGTTTTAGAGCCCCAACGGGCTGCAAGTGCCCCACCCCGCAGCTCGGCTCACAGGGAGCCAAGTCCAGTGCCCCGCTTGCGCCCCCTGCCGCCCGCGCCCAGGTATGGAGGGAAGCTCAAGTCCCTTGGCCCTGCCACGGAGGAGCAGACCCTGGGTGGCCCAGGGCCCACAGCCTGACCAGCGAAAGAAGACTCAGACCCGTAGCACCAACTCTATTTATTGAGGCCTCGCTCGGTTCTTGGGGGCGGGCCACCTCTGGGACCCGCCATGGTTTGCTTCTCCAAGTCCCTGGCCCTCGGGGAGGGCAGGCTGGTTGAGCGAGCAGAAGAGGCTGCCATCGGGACATCAATCAAAGGAGGCTTGTTGCCAGATTCCGCCGCGGATCCCCAAGTTTTTTGCTGGGTGTGGGGGGGCAGGGCGGGCGGACTAGGATTCCCCGGTGGCCCTGGCGCGTAGCGCGAAGAGTTTCTCCCAGCAGGTGGCGACGGTGTCCAGGGCACGTAGCAGGAGCCGCCTCCGACCACCGCGGCGCTGGACAGGACGCATCCTGGGGCGCCGGCTCTGCTGTCCAAGACCCATGGTCAGTGAAGGCACCCCGACCATGCGCCCGCCCAGTGGGCCGGAAGTGAGCCTCCAGCTGGGAGAGCCATGGACCGCAGGGCAGCTCTGTGGCTGGGAGGGGCATGCACTAGGGACACACACCTGGCGAGGCTTCCAGCAGTGGCGCCTCATCACCGCCTCGGTGCGTAGGGCCACAGTCCATGCAGCTTTCTCCAGGGAWCCACGGCGGCCCCCAGTCACTGCCCGGAGCAGAGTCTGGCCCAGGGACTCAATGGACAGAAGGATACTGTGCTCCTGGGGAGGGAAGGAAAGCTGGGGCCAGGGAGTCCTAGGGGAGGTCCCGAGGGAAGGTGTAGGTGGGCGAGGGAAGGTGGATGGGTACATACTCCATACCTTCTGGGCACTGCAGGAGACATTAGGTCGTCTCCGCCCTCCGCCCATTCCAGTTAGGTTTTTCTCAAGGAGATGGTGGTATCCTGAGCCTGGCTCTGGCCCCAACTGTCTCACTGCGGCCTGCAGATCCTCGAAGATGACTGCGCGATAGTGGCGGAGCACCTCTGGGACGCTGCAGGCACTGGGCTTAGCCCAGTCAGGAACCAACCACAGCAGTGCCAGCAGGAGGGCGCAGAGTGTGGGCTTGGAGGGCACCTGGAGGGGACACCAGGTCTGGGCTTGGGATGTGAGTCTATGGAGTGCCTTCTAGTACAAGGGGCATCCTTTTAGGCACTTTGGGCCACCAGAGAAGGTGTACCCCTGCCCCAATCTGAGCTGGTATAAAACAGATGTCATTGTCCAACAAAGCCTCTGGACACAGGGCTGAAAGGATAAGTCCCTGTCTCAAGGATGGAGAAACTAGACAGGCCTGCAAACCAGATAGCTCTGTGCAAAGATCTTGGGGTATATGTGGGGTGGGGTGGGGCACCTTTCACTGATCCCTGAAGGACCAAGAAAATAAAGGAGCTGTTCCAAAACAGGGCCAAATGCTGTGGTTATCTGGGAAAGACAGAGGATGATGGACCCCCTGCAAGGCTGGAGGGCAGGGTCTAGGGGCTCTGCACAGCAGGGGCACAGCGTTTAATTGCACCAGTATAGCCTCACCCCCTGGCCAGGGTCAGGACCATACCCACCAGCTACAATCTACCACTTGGATCAGGCTTTCCTCTTGCCAAGTTCCCCACCTCATCCCCTCTGGATGCCCACAGAATAGGCACCACTTGAAGCTCTGCCATCCCAGAGGGTGGAGTAGAACCACTCTGCCCTGTGTGACGTGGTGGCTCCCACCCTCTACCCATGGCTGTGCTTTAACCAGCTCACAGAGCCATGAGAACTAGGGTCCTCACACACACACCCCAAGTCAACCCAGAGAGGGGCAGACTCAGAGCTGCAAACTACACCTCATTGGAAAGGGAAAGGCTGGAGAAACCCCCAAAGATGGGCTGGGGATGCGGCTCAAGTGGTAGCGCGCTCGCCTAGCATGTGTGCGGCCCGGGTTCTTACTCAGCACCACATACAAAAAACAAAGATGTTGTGTCTGCTGAGAACTAAAAAAAAATAGATATGAAAAAAAAAGAACCCCCCAAAGATGATGGAGAGAAAGGGGGCCACCATATCATACTGCAAGCAGTCAGCCAACAGGCCCCTTCCTACCCAGAACAGGGGTGGGAACTGGCTCTCAGGGGAAACCCAAGCATCAAGAAGACAATCCATGGTTCCCAGGTCCTCAGGCTAGAGTCAAGACAGCCGACTCGGGCTGGAAAGTCAATCATGTGAACCCAGCCGGACCACAGGACTCGACTCTGCTTCCCAGCCCCAGCAGGGGAGTCTGACTGCACGTACCCAAACCTCATCTAAAGCAGGGGCGGGGGGGGGCCTCCTATCCACGGCACCAAGCAGCAATCAGAAGAGCAGACAGTTCACTGTACCCTTTCCTGAGGCCCACCACACACCATGGTCAACTGTTTGAGGGCTTAAACCTTCAATGGACTGCAGTCACAGTGTAGCACATCYAATTCAGGACAGGCCAGTGGGAGGTGCTGAAGGGGCAGGCTGGCTACCCAGGGAGTCGCAGGCTYAGCCTAGCATGGGAGGAAAGGGTTCTAGGAAGGCTGTGGTGCATGCACTCAAAGCTGGTCCCAATGCTGTGATCTGCTGGGAACCACTAGTGGCTTCTTCCCAGGCCTATGCGCACTCCAGCCCGCCCCCCCGCCCACACCAGCCACCCCCCATGCCCAGCTGCTCACCATTGGTCAATCAGGGTCTTGCCCTGCCTCACTCCCTCCAGCGGACCACGCACATGGTCCTGGGTCTATGGTGGTAAGTGCAGCTGGCACTTGGCAGTTGCTCCAGGTCCAACACCAGCCTACGGGGCTCCCTGGACAGGACTGCCTTGCTGCAGGGCAGGCGGAGAGGCTTTTGAAGTTGGCTCCTCCAGCAGAGGAGGGAGGAGACAGGTGAGGGAAAGAGAGGCCCACAGCCAGCCTGCCCCTCCCTCTCCCAGCCTCTACCCGGCTGCTTCAGTCAGTCTGACCCTGGAGCCCACTGTGGCCTGTCCTGCAGGCCAGGGTTGCTCAGAGACTGAGGGTACTGGTTTGACCCACAGGGAGTTGTCAGCCCCAGAGACTTTGCACTTTGTCAAGGAGTGAGGGTGCTTAGTGAGCAGGGCCCAGCTGTGGGCAAGGCTGACTGGGGTCCCCCTCAGTGGTCACCAAGTGCTGCCCCTCCCAGGAACTGGCTGACAGAATCTGATGTACAGGACTCAACTCCCTGCCCCATGACCACAAGCCCTTGTACCAACTCCCAGGAAGTCCTGCCCTCGCAGGTCAAGATCTGGGACTTCCCAGACTTCCATGCTGCTGGCCCAGCCTGCTCCTCCTGGACTGAAGGGGCCTCTCATGGGCAGGGGCTGCTGCTCTGCCTCTGGAACATGGCTTACCTTCAGTCTGGGCTAAAAACCTTCAGCTGAAGAAAAGGTACATTAAGCCTCCCAGGGAGGGAAGCTGGTGACACGTGAGAAAGCCACCCCCTTGCAGGTGAGAAGAGGCACCTCTGGACATGCAGGTGTTCTGGAACCTTCCAAGGGCCTTGTATGTAGTTTCATGCCAATCACTCTTCCCCGGAGGAACCAAAGGGACAGGCCACTCAAAGTAGAGGCCACCTTGCCCCTTCCCACCAATAAAGGAGGCTGCTTACAGTGAATCCAAGGCTGCCTCTGAAGTTCCCAGCAAAACAAGAAGAAGCTCTGTGGCCACCCCTCAGGACAGGGCAGCAACAACTGACCACAACCTCACAGGTCACAGGTCAGCTGGCACATCCATATGACTGCCTGGTACCAAACAACCAGCATCTCTGGTTCCACCCTGAAGATGGTCCCTGCCTGCTATCCTCGAGTTGGGCCCATGGCTTCCACAGCATGGCCTCATCCACCCCAGATGCCCACAGTTGAAGCCGAGGTCCTGTGGCCAGCACTCCTTAGGGCTCTCTGTTCTCACCTGGGAGGAGGGGAAGAGGCACCCCAAGCCAGTAGGGCCCTGTCTGCAGGAAGGCTGAGCTGTGCTGTGACTACCACTGCAGGCCTTGCTACAGGCACAAGAGATGTGGAGCCCCCCCGGGTGCATCACTTAAGACTGGAGAACAGCTGTTCTACAGGAAGTAGGTGTCAGAGGCTGTCCTTCACCATCCCCAGAGGCACTTTATCTTCTTGCTGGGCCAAAGTGGAAGACGTCCATTGCCCTCCAGAACAGCCATTTTCTCTAGCCAGCCACCTGGCATGGGCTACACACCACTCCTGAGAGCTATTTCTCAACTGAATGTGCACACACATACACACACACACACACACACACACACACACAGAGATTCAAGGTCCAAGAATTTTTTTTTTTTTATCCCCACAAAGCAGAAAGGCTGAAAGAAGTCACATCTCTGCAATACAAAATTCCATCTATCAATGAGGACAGGCACAGTGCTTCAGGATAAAACTGCTAATCATGAACTAGCAAAAGCAGACTTTCCTGCAAAACAAGGCAAGCTCCTATGGGGGACATCTCCACAGGGCCTGGCCAGCACGGAGAGGCCTGGACACAGCCAGGTTCTGCTGGGTACACTCAGCACTCCAGGAGGCCCCAGCTGGGAAAGTCTCTGTCCATATGGATGTGACCATGGGGGCTCCTGTAAGTGTTTCCCCCTACTCATAGCTCAGTCCCTATGTGGCCTCCACCTGTGCTACAGACTAGTGACCGAGTGTCTCCACTTTTTGCAGAGTCTTGACTCCACTACCTTCTCCACAAAACCTCAACAAGCCCTGGCACCCCACCATGCTTCCTCTGTAGGATACAGGTGTCTGCAAGAGGCCTTGCCCCAACCAGAGGAACTAGGACCACCCCGTACCTGYGTGGGAGGCTGGTGGGGCTGCAAAAGCACAAGACAGCAGGCCCCACCCTTACCCACGACATGAAGATCTTTAATGAACGTTGGGCAGATAGTCAACCCTGCCCATGTGTATCCATGAGCCACCTATGGTCCCACCCCTGCCCCAGACTGGGTCATCAGAAGGTGTTCTTGATGCGGGCAGCCACCAGCACCAGGATCTCTCCAATCTTCCTCTGCCAGTTGGCGATGTCCTTGGACACGGTGCACCACAGCTCCCCGTGCCGGGGCTCTGCGTTTTCACAGCGCTTCCTCACCTCCTCCTGCTGCTCCTGCAGGAGGGGACACAAAGCACTCAGGCATGGCTCCTCCTGGGACATCTCAAGCCTTGCCTGCCCCACACCTACCCCCTTTGCAGACTTGGACCCAGCTTGTGGGCAGGGCAGGTACCCATGTGGCTCCAGGATAAGCAGGGTGAGCCTTCAGATGGGCCCCTCAAGACAGCCTCTCCCCACTGTTAGAAGCCCAGAGCCAGCCAACGTGGTTGTGTGCCGACCTAAGTCAGGCTCTTGGTCCACTGTCTGAATAAGGCAAAGTAGTCTGCCTGCTACCTCTGGGGAAGACCCCAGGACACCCTGTGACCACCCCATGGATATGGCTCTGATAAGGCTTGGCTGGGGAGGGGCTGCTGCCTAGGCTCCCCTGGAATACCACCCCTGGATTAGGCCCAAGAGGACAAACCAATTCCAGTCTCATTTCTAAGGATGTAGACTCCAAGCCCCACCAATCACCAAACAACTCAAAATATGCTAATAGGGCCAATCTTAGTGGCACATGCCTATGATGGGGTGGGAAGACCAAGTTCCAGGCCAACCTCAACAACTCAGCAAGACTCTCAGCAACATATCTCAAAATAAAAAATAAAGAATGGGGAATGCAGTTCTGTGGTAAACTGCCTTTGGGCTTAATCCCCAGAACCAAAACAAAACAAAATAACAGACCACTTAAAATGAACTAAGCAAATAAATTTCAGGCTATAATAAGAAAACACTGTGATCAGTTAATCACTGTGCCCCAACCCTACTCTCCAGACCCAGGACTGAGGGGTGCTGGCGGAGCTCCCTAGAGTACCAGAAGGTTGGGGACAGACAAGAAGGCAGGGCACACTGGTTGGCTTGTGTGCCTCACCTCGGTGCCATGCTGCAGCTCGAACTTGTAGAAGAAGGCCCAAGCGTCCCCCAGGTCGGAGTCAATCTTCACCGTGCGGTGGAACCACTCCCGAGCCTTGGTGATCTTCCGCTCACTCCAGAAGAGCCTGTGGCAGGAGGGAGGGTACACCCCAGCGCAGGCAGTGACTGGCAGTGTGAGCCCAGGCTCCCCTACCCATCTGCACCCACATTGGCATATGGTCCTGGACTGCCTAGGCAGCATCTGGGTCATCAACCACAACTGTCCTGAAGCATCTAATCACACTGCTCCTTCAACACTCCCAACTCTTGAAAACTTCCTTTCCTCCAGGTCAAACAAAGATGAAGTGTCAGGATGACAGGGAAAACTGTCATCTCAGCCGGATATCTGCTGCCTGTCCAGCTCCAGGCAGCAAACTAAGCAAGTACTATGAAAGCAGGCTTCCAGTCAGCACCAGGGACCAGCCTGCTGGGGCTGTAGCCCCCAGCCCCAGGACTACAGCACAGTGGCTGCTGTGTCTGCCAGGCATGCAGACACCAAGAGCCAGGCCGAACAGGGTCCACACATGTGGATCCTCAAAAGCCAAATCAGGGTCTTCATGAGCACCCTCCTCCTTCCCACTGGTGCAGGGCATGCTAGATGGTGGGCACTCTGGCAGGCCCAGGACTCGGGGCTGCTCCCACCACCCCTCAGCTTAGCACCCACAGGCACCAAGCAGCTGCCAGCACAGTGGCCTCCACTCCACTACCGTCTGGGCCAGTCTCAGGTACCATACGGAGTCACTTCACATTGATAACCTGATTGTTTTTTAAGCCGTGTGGCACTCTTAATTGCTTGGTGTTAGATAAACTGTGATTTAAAGAGTGCAAACTCAGATATCAGAACAGCAAGGAGTGACTTATTTACTTTAGCAAAGCCTTTATAAGGTTTTTATGGCTGCCCTATCTGAGGACCACATGTAAGTCACTCTGGGAGGAGGAAGCCCAGGCAAGTACTAGCCAGGCTTTGAGAAGCCTCCGTTGTCAGCAGGGGCCCAGGAGCTCAAGAGGGGCACAGGTAAAGGGCCGCCACATCAGACCCTGGAGACCGTTGCCACCTGGAGCAGAGTAAAGGCCAGTCTCAAGAAGGCTCTGCCTCTAAGCATCACTACAGGGTTGAAGAAGGACTGGGGATACAGCTCAGTTGGTAGAGTGCTTGCCTTGCATGCACAAGGCTCTTGGATCCCCAGAACAAAAAAAAAAAAAAAAAAAAAAAAAAAAAACCAGGGTTGGAGAACACAAAACACCTCCCTGGGGCAGCTACAATCCTCCCTGAAGACCCTCTTCAGTCCCATCTGCACAGTCACCTGCTGGCCTTTCGGCCACACCCAGCCCAATCCTTTCTAGAAGGAAGCAGAGGGCCTGTGGGGTCAGGATGGCTCTCAAGGCACAGCACTTCCTGACCATAACCTGGTGCCATCATCCTGAGGTCCTTCAGGCTCCAGTCGCCTCCTCCAAGGCGCAGCCTCTGACCTAGCATCACATATCGGCGTCGACCACGTGTTGAGGTCCCTCCCTGACTCCTTCTTCCCCTGAAGACCATGTGCTCTGAGAGGTTGTCTCTAGTCAGTCACCTCCACGCTCTTAGGCTTGCAGACTGGACTGGGGTTGATCCCAGGACCATAGAGCCACAAGTGCATGATTTCTTGTTCTGACATAATGAAGCCCCTTAAGCCAAAGGGTGGACCAACACTAGCAGATGTGTCTCTGCTGAGTGACTCAGGCCACATGCAGTACGGCCCACAGGACACCCAGGACCGCAGGAGAACTCAAGCAACCCAAAGGCTCTGGAGAAGGACTGACCTGGACAGATGTCCAGGTGACTAGACAGTGCACGCTGTGGGACTCTGCCAGGAGACACACTGCCCCAGAAGACAGAAGCAAAAGCTTCCCAGCTGAGGACCAGGGTGGCCCACCCTGCTCCCTGCTCATTTGGCACAGCTAGGGAGAGGCAGTCGTGCCACCAAGGCCCCACTGGCACCCAAGGCCAGTAACCCAAAAGGACACCCACTCACTTGGCCACAGCCAGCAGCACATGGGGGTCATGCTCACACTTCTTCAGGGCGTCCACACTCTTGGTCTTCCTCTGGGGCCTTGCCTCCAGGAAGACGGCTTCTGACCACAGAATCCCTGAAGTTTGAGAGAGAGACGCCTCAGCCTTGCCTGTGGTTACAGAAGCACATCTGCCTGCCCCACACAGGCCACGTGAGGGCCCTCAGGGCCAGCCACAAAGGCTGAGCTTCCATCTACCACAGCCACCCTGCACAGCAGCAGCCTGGACACCCCTCTACCCGCAGGGGGAGATGGCCAGAAGCATCAACCACTGCCAAGCCTCCAGTCCTGCAGACTCTGCAACTGCACACCTAAGGGTTTATTATAACAAGACAATCAAAAATCCTAGTAAAAGTTCACACAGGAGGGCTGGGATTGTGGCTCAGAGGTAGAAGGCTCACCTAGCATGTGCAAAACGCTGGGTTTGATCCTCAGAGCCACATAAAAAGTAAATAAATAAAATAAAGGTATTGAATTCAACTACAACTAAAAACGTTAAAATTAAAAAACTTAAAAAATTCACATAGGAAAATGGGGGTCAAGCCAGGTACAATGGCACACCATGCAATCCTAGTGACATGCACGCCAAGACAGGAGAGTGCACATTCCAGGCCATCCTGAGCTACTCAGCAAGACCCTGTCTCAAAACAAAAAGGGCTAGGATGGAGCCCAGTGGTAGAGCACCCCTGGGTTCGGTTCCCAGTACCACAAGGGAAAAATAACAACAACAACAAAAACTAAAGATGACCTAAGCATCCAACAAATGACCAAGAACTGAGGGTATGTTACTGAAATTTGCATTCTTGAACGTTCAACAAGAACCAAAAATTCTCACAAAACTTTCAGCTTTATAAAGGTAAAACAGGCCAGGAGCAGTGGCGTATGCCTATAATCCCAGCTACTTGGAGGCTGAGGCAGGAGGATCACAAATTTTAGGCCAGCCTCAGCAACTTAGTGAGACTCTATCTTAAAATTACAAAGTGGTTGGGGTGTAGCTCAGTGGTAGGGCATTTGCCTAGCATGTGCTAGACCCCGAGTCTGATTCCAGCATCATCACCAGAAAAAGAAAAAAATGAAAAAGGTAAAACACTCAATACCCAGTATGACTTTAGTTGTATACCATCATAGAGGTTGTAATCCTACAAACAAGTAAGAGTAGGGATTCCTGATTAGACTAGTGGACCTGGAGGTGATTTCTAGTTTCTCCTTTTAGCTCCAAAAATTTTTTTTTTTTTTTTTTTTTTTTGGTACTGGGGATTGAACCCAGGGATACTTTACTGCTAAGCCACACCCCTAGCCCTTTTTATTTTTTCAAACAGGGTCTTGCTAAGTCCTTAGGCCCTCACTAAGTAGCCCAGGCTGGCTCTGAACTTTCAATCCTCCTGTTGCAGCCTCCTAGGCTGCTGTGATGACAGGCATGTGCTACCAGACCCAGCTCCAAATTTCTTTATGCCACATATGTATTCCTTATATGCTTGGAGTAAAATGATAAAAGTTAAAATCTTTTTTGCTTGAACCCAGGGGTGCTCTACCACTGAGTCCTAGCCCTTTTGATTGTTTTGAGACTCAAACTTGTGATCCTCCTGTCTCAGCTCCTGAGTCTCTGGGATCACAGGCATGCACCACCGCACTCAACAGTAAGTTAAATCTTGAAAGAAAAATAAACGGCAGCACTTCAGAACATGAAATCAAACTCTTCCATGTTGAGACTGGGAATTCAGTCCAAACATCCTAATTACCAAGTCCAGAGAAACTTGAACAAAGTAAGCCACATACAGGCCCCGAGAGCCAGCCAGGAGCCCCTTACCAGAACTGGGGCACTCCTGCAGCGCCTTGGCCATGAGTGTGTTGGCAATGTTCTTCAGCCCTGCTCGGTACTCCAGCCGCACAGACTCCAACCTGAAGAGACAAGCCCAGGGACATCCAAGCCCCATCTACCTGCAGCACAAACCCTTGCTGGCCCCTGGAGGCTCAGGAACAGCAGCAGCTGCAGGGCAGAGCTCATCCACAAGAGGCGGATGTCCCTGCCGAGCCCTGGATTCCCACTGCTCCAGATGAAGTGAAGATGCAGGACAGGACAAAGACTAGGGAGTGTGTGCCCACCCTGGGTCCTTTCAGGTTTCTCACACTGAACAGAGCCCTGCAGCTCTACAGGCAGGACACCACCCTTCCCCTGGCAAACCCTTGCCTGTGCCCCCTCTTCTGTGCAGTGTGCTTGCTCAGCTCCACTCCCCAGCCCATCACTAACCCCTGGCTCCCTGGGCACCCCCTATCAGAGCACGTTAAACAGCATCAAACTACCCACAGGCGGGTCCTGCTGTCTAGGCCCACTGTGAGGACAGCCCTCTAAAGGGCAAGCTGGTCAACAGCCAACACTCACCACAGCCCAGGATTTTTTGGGTTCTTCAGGCGAGACTTCTCCAAAATGGCCCGAGCTCGGGTCAGCTGTCCAATCTTCTCCTCCAGCCGGGAGAGCAAGAGCCACAGGGGTGTGGAATGAGGGCACTTTTTCAACTGTGGCCAACAAACCAAGCAAGAGAGACGCTCAGACGGTGTCCGGGAAGGACTGCAAAATAGCAGAGGCATGCTCCACCTGACAGAATCTCAGAGCTGTGTCCAGAGATGGCACCTCATGCTCCCCGAGGGTTTATAGACATGCTGAGGGGTTACAGACATACACGTGTATGGGGTGTGTGGGAGATGTACAGGTGTGTTCTACATTTGTGGTTGTGTTATGCACACGGGGGCACATGTACTACATGTTCTGTGCACTGCACCCCACAGGTCCTGGGCACAGGGTGTGCAGCTCTACAGAGGTAAAAGCACTAAATTCAGAGCGGGGACCAGTGCTCGGTCCTGAGCCTACAATTCCACCAACTGAGGCCTGAGTGAGTCGCTGACCACCAGCCCTCCAATTCTCCCTAGAGGTGGGGGCGACAGCCAGTGTCAGGTGCTGGCTCCATGAGGCAGGCCAGCGGCAGCTCAAGTGTCCCAGCAGAGGCTCACCCCCTGGTTGTAGGCCTCCCGAGCCTTCTCCATCAGCTCTCCCTGCTCCTCGATCTGCCCTTTCATCATCCACAGCTTGGGGAAGTCCTCGTAGTGCTTCAGGGCTTCCTCACAGAGCTCCTGGGCAGCTGCAATGTTCCCTAGCACCCACTCCAGCTTCACAGACTTCATGAACACCTGTGAGCAAACATGTGTGAGTCACAGTGAAGGCACTCCCGGGACTCTCGCTGCACAGTATGGCTCATCCCCCTATATCTATCCTGAGGGATGTGATGTGCCTTGTAAGCTGATTCACAGCAGGGGGGTTAAGAAGCAAAGCTACACGGGACTGGGCTGCAGCCTGGGCTCTCCTCCTCTCCCTCTTCATTGACATGCAAGCCAGGTGCCAGGTCCATGCCTGCACATGCAGCATCCCAACGGCCCCACTCTGCCTGCCCACCACTACGCACACGGGCCGTAGGTGCACTGCTCCGCGCCTTGGCCAACAGCCTGCGGGCCCGCTCATACTCGTTGTTCTCAGACTCCAGCTTCACAGCCGCCAGCCAGATCTCCTCACTATTGGGGTTGGCCTATGGGGCAAGCACAGCACGTCAAGATGGGTTCAGAACCAGTGGCAGGGCTGGTGCACACATAATTAAAGACAGCCTGGGACACGGCCAGGCCTTGCTCTGCTGCAGGACTGGTAGGTCCAAGCCCTTCCCAGGCAAGGCAAGGACAGTAGACTCCAGGCAAGAACCTGAGCTCACCTGAAAACACATGCTCCACCTTTATTCTGTGCAGAGGAAGGCCCCACAGCACTGAAGCAATGCTAAAGGCTTCAGAGGCACATCCAGGATCCACCCGAATCCTTCACAGCCCTCTCACACTCTTGAGTGGGTCACTCACATTCTGCATGTGTGAACTCACTACACATGACCTTACTTTTCCTTCTTTCTGTTGCCCCAGTGTGTTCACGTGAGCAGACAGAGGTGCAGGGTGCCTTGAGTTGCGTGGAGAGGGCCCCCCAACAATCCAGAGTCTACTGGACATGCAAACAGTGACTTTGATGTGTCCTTAGAGCTGGTAGCCAGACAAAGTCTAACCAGCAAGAGTCAAGTCACACCTGATAAGCAGCCCCCAAGACAGGCAAGGAAAGCCACCTTGGGGCTTCTGGCATGCAACAGTGTGAGGTGATGGGCAGCAGTCACCAGGTGGTAGGGAGGACACTGCCTCTTTTGCGTTCTCTCCAGGAGGCAGCTGGGATAAGTGTTAACCCAGCCAGGCCCTCTGGTGGAAGGACACACTTTTTGGTGGCAGCCTGGGCTGCAAGAGTGCATGGCATTTTCATGGTACTCCATGGTTTACTAAGAAATGTGCTGTAAAACCATCTAATACCCTCTTGTCACTAGGATGTTATACATGACAACAAAAATAAAAACATACTTAAAAATACTGCACACCACATGGCAGCTGGATGGTCAGACTGGCAAGAGCAGAAATTTCAACAGGCTTCCCCTCAGATGGGGCCTTGGGGTTTCCACAGAGCCCACAAGTGACCCTGTGTTCTAGGATCTGAAACATCAACCTGTGGTCACACTGAGTAATAGGGACAGGAGGTAAGAGTTCCCCAGCTGGGCTTCACGCTCACAGGGCCCCTCAGGGCATCTAGATCATGGCATATCCATCCCAAAACACGTGCATGGGAAGTACTCAGGCACCAGCCAGCATAGAGGTTGGGGTCTGCCACACAGGTGACCCCTCACATACCTGAAAGGCCAAGGCCAAGATGCTCCGCGCTGCAGGCACATCCCCTGCCAGCCATTTGGACTTGGCGCCCATAAGCCACAGTACCTCGGCCTTGGGGCAGTGGGCCACGGCTCTCTGCAGGAGCGCCTCCAGAGACTCCCTGAAAGACAGAGATCAGGATCACCAGAGCCAGGGCCATAAACCAGAGCACACAGGCACTCACAGACACAGCACGGGCAGCAAAAAGACAGTTACTACTCCAAAGTTCGGCACTATAAATGATTTACCAGAGTTTACAACGGGGAGAGTGTGGGGAAATCTTTCCTCTCCATAAAGGTTCTAAATCCAACTACTGAAGAGGGTTCCACAAAGCATGCATTGTTTGAACAGCAGGGCCTTTTACAGTGTGTGGCCTTTCACCTCGAACAGGAGGACGCATTGCCGGATCCACTGACAAGAGTCTACTCTTCTGGCCTTATTATAAAAAAGTGATTTTTAGGTGACTCCCGAACAAGAACACTTCTAGCACTGAGTACCTCTCCTTGGTCTGCTGCCTCTGGGCCATATCCCCTTCACCAATGACCCCTGCGGGGTTCAGCAGCAGGTCACAGTAAACATACAAAGCCACACTGTGAGGCCTGAGGGCAAGGCCATGCCCCACTAGAACTCCTACCCCAGCATCACTGCCCTCCCATCCTTCTGATTGGACACCCTGGAAAAAGCCCCTGAAGCCCATTGGACTTGGCCCCATAAGCCACAGCACCTCAGCCTTGGGGCAGTGGGCCTGGAGGACCAAGTGCACCTGAGCACCAAGCGGGCAGCTGTGTATGCTCAGGCCATGGGGGCCAAGAGGTCTCAGCCCACAACAACCCTGCCCAGGTGACCTACAATGTGAGTCACCAGGATCATTTCAGAATGTCCCATGGCCCTGAAGGGGTTAACTCTGAAACACCAAAACAGCTGGCAGTGCTGGGAGGGAGCTCCAGCAGTACAGGAGAGGGCCCTGAAGACACTGGCACCCAACAACGCCAGAACAGAGGAGAAACCAGGGCTGAGCCCTCGCACTGCAGCCTCACTGAGCCAGCCAGGCAGGACCCACCCAGCACGGGGCAGAGGCCCCAGGAAGGGATGGATGGAGGGTCCCTGGGGACATGAGCCTGATGCCCTGGAGCACTACCCATTTAAAACAAGAAACTGCGATGCCTAATTTAATCAGCACTTCCAGGCAATAAGGCAGACCCAAAAGGTTTTTTTAATTAAAGAGTACAATTAAAGAAAATTGTCAAGGACCTCCTCTGAGCACAAACCAGCCCAAAACCAGAGCCAGCACAGCTTAAGTGAAAACAGCCTGCGTGGACGAGACACAGCTGCACCAACTGTGCTGGCTTCAGCTTCCAGACAGCACCTCAGGACAAGCCTCCTCCAAGCCTTGGTTTCTCAACTCTATGATCCTATTTCAGATGGAACTATAAAGATCAGTCCAACTGCAAAGTCCCAAGGACCAGAAAGCTCCTGTCCTCATCACACACACCACCCCCATCAGGCCCCTCACCCAAAAGGAAGCACTCATGGGTCTCCAGTGCCATACAGAGAGGAGCCAGGGGTTCAGTCAGTGGCAGGGGCAGGTGGATCACCTCGTACCTGGTGCCATGGTTTTTCTCGAAGTATGCAGCTCGCAGCCATACGCTCTTTTTGCTGGGGAATACTTGCAGGGCGTAGGCGTAGATGGCCCGTGCGCACTCCAGGGCATTGTGGGCCACACACTAGAAAAGAGAGATGGACATGAGGGTGCTGACGCCTGCCCAGCCTCCATGATTCTCCAGATTCTAGATGACATCTGCTAGAAAGTCCACAGCAGGCCATCTAGTCAGAACTGTGATCTGAGAGGGACAGCAGAGATGGGCACGAGCGCTGAAGCCAGCTGGGAGCTGCCTATGAGGGCACCAGTCACCATGTGGCACRCGCACACGCCATAGCTGCACATCGCCAGCAATAGTTTCCTTTTTTAAGATTAAGGTAAATATTTTCCTTTATAAAAGTGACACTGAAAACCTGAAGACAGACAAAGATGAGAGGGAAGAGGAAGGAAAGCCCCCACTCCAACAGAACCACTGTGCAGCCTGCTTCCAGGTATTCCCACGCTCAGGAGGGTTTCTTTCTTGGGTAGAATCAAACAACTGAGTGAGAGCCTAGCCATCACCTGCAGTGACAGAGTACCCAGGAGCCAGCTGAATGGATCTGCCGCTGTGGCCGTGACAACCAGACTCACTGCACTGGCACAGACATCTGTCCTCTAGCAACTGCACACAGGACCACRGGAACCATCCCCAAGAGAAGTCACTGCCTTCCACACCATGCAGACATCCAAGGTACCCTTGTACCAAGAAGGGATTAAAATATGGAGGTGAGTAAAAGGCCACAAGGGAGAAGGGACAAGTACAAAGTTTTTCAGCCATGAATGCCAAAATGCCACAGGGGAGGTACCTGGCCATACAAGATCCCTTCCCAGATGGACAGCTGCCCTTCCAGAGAAAGGACACTCAGTGTGTGGAAATGGGAGGGGACAAGGAGCAGGTGTGACCTCCTCTGTCATGGAGTCTCCCTCTGACTCAACCACCACAGAAATCAGGGAGACCTGCCTTGCATGCTGTGTCAGACATGGACAGAGCAAGCCTGTCTCCCCTGTCTCCCCTGTGATTTCTGTCCAAAGCAGATGGGGCCAGTGACAAGGCTTTCAGATCCTCCACCACCTTGTCTGATCTTGGCGGGAGGGAGTGTGGGAGGTACCAGGAATTGAAGTCAGGAGCACTCAAAAAGTGAGCCACATCCCCAGCCCTATTTTGTATTCGATTTAGAGACAGGGTCTCACTGAATTGCTTAGTACCTCACCACTGCTAAGGCTGGCTTTGAACTCGTGATCCTCCTGCCTCAGCCTCTCCAGCCGCTGGGATTACAGGCATGTGCCACTGTGCCGGGCTCCTTATCTGATCTTACAACTGTCTGCAGAATGGCTGGGACACCCCACAGGATCAATTAGGTGTCCAGGGTCTTGGGGTGGATGGGCCAGTCCCAGGGTGGGGAGGACACTAGAGAACACTCCCTACTTCTAGTACAAGAGAAACTTCAGTTCTGACTCTTACATCACAAAGTGTGGAAAAGTAACTGTACTTACTCTAGTCAAGATAGGCATCACCTGCAGTGATATCCACCAAGGGCCTCTGAAGTGGTCAAAAGCCATAAGGAGAAGGACAAAGGGGGAAAGCATTATGACTCTATGTCCAGAATAAAGAGGGCTGGACACCAGGTACTGGATTCTTTCATTTAACCAAGGAATTTTCACTCAATACAGAGACTACAAAAGTTTGTTAAATTAGTCTTTTTTTGAACATAGGGATGCTTAACTACTGAACTACACCCCCAGCCCTTTCTAATTTATTTTGGAACTAAATTACTGCCAGCCTTGAAACTTGCAATCCTCCTGCCTCAGCCTCCTGGGTCACTTTGATTACAGGCACTGTGCCTGGATTAAATTAGTCTTTATACTTTATTTATTTATTTATTTGGTGCTGGGATCAAAGGCAATGCTTGGTACATGCACACACCCTATCACTGACCTGCAACCACAGCTCCAACATGATAAAAATCTTCTGAAAGACCATCACCACTAACCTAGGTTTCAACTCCCATATGCAGGTCAACAAGCCAGTGCCTGTGCTCTGGGTCATGCCACACTGGGACCTGAAACTACAGGCTCACAGGCTTCAGAGATGCCGGCCTTGGAGCATGACCCCACAGGCTGGGGAGAAGTCCTCAGCCTGCCCAAATGGAAAGGGATAAGCACTCATATAGCAAAGTGTGGGAAGCTGCTCTCCGTGACTACATAGCAGCAGCTCACAACATGTACAACAAACAGTATTTAGGAAACCAATTATTTTGGGGTAAAATTGGGAGTTCATAACCCACTTCAATCTAATGTATGAAATATGATATGTCAAGAGCTTTGCAATGTTGTGAACAACCAATAATAAAAATTAAAAAAAATTTAAAAAAAAGAATAGTTAAAAAAAAAAAAAAAAGAAACCAATTATTTGCCTGGGCTGTGGCACACACCTGTGATCCCAGCAACTGGGGAAGCTAAGGAGGAGGATCTCAAGTTCCAGGTCAGCCTGGGCAACTTAGACACTCTTGAAATAAAAATGTGTTTTAAAGAAGTAGGGGGTATAGCTCAGTGGAAGAGTCACCCTGAATTCAATCCCCAGAACTGTCCTCTCCCGCCAACCCACACCCAGCCAAACTGATTATCTGGCAAACACTACAGAGAAACAAATGATTTGGCCAAAATCGCCATGATCAGATCCTGAAAATAATGGTTCTCTGGGGAGAACAGGGTATTCACATAGTCTCAAGGTTTCTCCTCACAAATGCTTACTAGTCCCAAAGGAAAAAAGAGCAGCCACAGAGAGGAGAGACCTGRAGCCATCCCCTGAACCAGCTGGTCAGTGACCACAAGGAGACCTGACATCCCTGCCAGGCACAGGATCTCAACCCAGCCATGAGCAAATAGTGCAGAGACCCAGGTCAAAGAGGGACCTACGACACTGCAGCCTGTAATCAAGATTTAGACTTGAAACACACAGACAGACCAGGCCTGGTCCAGACTGGCCTGAGCACATGGCCCTGAACAGTTCTAAGCAGAACATAGTTGCTTCTTTCTTTTGCCTGGTGAGATATGAGCCAGGTCTATAGGGTAGGCAACAGCACACATGCTGTGCTGTGCCACAGTGCTGAGGAGCAAAGGACTGCACGTCTGCACAAGCTTCCCTAGCACTTAAGGAGCAGCAGCAGGGTGCAGGCGTGTGCCCCTGAATGAGGAGATCAAGGCACAGTGGCAGAGTGGTAACTTGGGGGAGTGAGGCAAGGGGCATGGAAGAACTCTTTGCAGTTCTGCAACATTAAAGTACATCTGATAGTATTATTTCCGAATGAAAAGCTAAAAACAGAGGGCCATGTCTGTATTAATACTTTATACTTTTTTTTTGGTATTACTGAGAATTAAACCCAGGGATGCTCTACCACTTTTTATTTTATTCTGAGACAGGGTCTCGCTAAGGCTGGCCTTAAACACGCTTATCAATTTGGCCCTATGATCTTTCTCCTGGAAACTTGTTCAGAGGAAAATAATCCCAAAGGAGGCAAAACTCTGTATTTGGAATGTTCTGAAATGAAACATGCAGCAGAAACCAGGGAACGGGAAGCACCTGATGTCACTGAGGTAGTCAGCTAAGGGCACTGCAGCCAACATGCTGCCACCTGCTGTGTGACACTAGGTGACACACTGGGCTCCTTAGCCACTTAGCCTCATTAGCTCTTCACCTGTGATCCCAGCAACTCAGGAGTCTGAGGCAGGTGGATGCAAATTCCAGGCCAGGCAGCAAATCAATAAAACCCTATCCCAAAATAAAAAGGGCTGGGGATGTTGCTCAATGGTAGAGGGCCCTTGGGTTCAATCCCCAGTGCCTCCCACCTATACACACAAAAACGCTCTTCACAGAAATTCAGGTTCACAGGAAATCCTTCCGTTCAACTGCAACTACATTTACGATGAGAATGTCAAAAAGACTTTTAGAACTCCTACTAGTCCTAGGGCCTGATGTCACTCTCAGAGGCTCCAGGTCTTGTACAAACACCTGCAGGCCACACTCACACTGTCAGCGTCTTCCATCCAGGTGTGCTTCCGATCTTCTTCCTCGATCCCGATTCCAATCACAGCTCGCATGACTGCCTGGCAGGTGGCCACACTCCCTGCCCTGTCGCACTCCTCAGCATCCTGAAAAAGACACAGAAATTCTGTTTTTTGAATTTTGAAGTCAAATTGCTGGGCGGTGGTGTCACAAGGCGTAGCTCAGGGCTCTGACTAAACACCACGTCTGCCCTGTTTCCTAAGCACCTGTCCTTGCCGCCTACCATACAATAAATACTGAATGAGGTGTGGGAGTAGGAATGATAGTAGAATGAATCGGAAATTATTACCCTGTGTGCATATATGATTACATGCATCTGTGTAACTCTATATCATGTACAATCAGACAAATGAGAAGTTATACTTCATGCATGTACAATGTGTCAAGATGCATTCAAATGCCATGAGCAACTAATTCGAACTAATAAAAAATATTTAAAAAATAAATAAATACTGAAATGACTGAATGCAAGCATACCCATCCACGCAATGAACTTTAAGTGAGCACTTACTATGCACAAGCAATTATATTAGGCCATTCAGTGGCTATAGGTTTCCTATACTAAGGAAACTTTCAAAGTAGGAAGAGTGAAAGACAAGTTCAAAATAACTGTATTTGTTGGGCTGGAACTCAAGGCAAAAGAAAGAAATGTTTTGACCCAGCCAGGCAAATATGACTGGCAGGGAGCCAGGTGCATAGGGGGTGTGACAGAACACCCAGGGGCCAGGGGCAACCAATCACAGAGCCTTCTACCAGGTAGACCAACATCAGAAAAGAACTCCTGCTTCAGGAAAGCAAATCTTTTTTTTTTTTTAATATTTATTTTTTAGTTGTAGTTGGGCACAAGCCCTTATTTTTCTTTTCTTTTTTTTTTTTTAAAGAGAGAGAGAATTTTAATTTTTTTTTTTTTTTTTTTTTTTTTTTTAGTTTTCGGCAGAAACAACATCTTTGTATGTGGTGCTGAGCATCAAACCTGGGCCGCACGCATGCCAGGCGAGTGCGCTACCGCTTGAGCCACATCCCCAGCCCTCTTTTATTTGTTTTTACGTGGTGTCGAGGATCTCACGTGCAAGGCTAGCCCTCTAGCGCTGAGCCACAACCCCAGCCCCAAAGAAAGCAAATCTTAGGATGTGCAGAAAGAAACCAACCAAGCTTCATAGCAGGAGACACAAAAATGATGACTGAAGACTTGAGATGATAAAATAAGTACCTTCATGTTAATTAAAAAACAGAACATTGATGCAGCAACACAGTGAAACCCTGTCACATAAAAAGGGCTGCAACTCAAAATGTAGGTGCTGGCTGAGGATGTAGCTCAGTGTCAGAGCACCCCTAGGCTCAATCCCTAGTACCACAAAAAAAAGAAAAAGAAAAAAATCCCCCTGATTCAATAAAGAAACACTGTAAAGGACATAGACACCAAAAAAAATAAAAACAAAAACAAATTTAAACAACTGGAAAAGAAATCCAAAGTCAATCTTACTTTTTTTTTTTTTTTAACTACTGGCGATTGAACCCAGGGGCACTTATCACTGAGCCATATCTCCAGCCCTCTTTTATATTTTTTTGGAGACAGGGTCTCGCTGAGTTGCTTAGGGCCTCACTAAGTTGCCAAGGCTGGCTTTAAACTTAGGATCTTCCTGCCTCAGCCTCCTGAGCCACTGGGATTACAGGCATGTGCCACCATGCCTGACCATTCTCACTCTGATGAGAATGTTAGCATCTTTTTGGGATGAGTAACACTGAGGTGTGTGCCAGCTGGCTCACTTGGTGAATGCAGGTACATACCTCACACTACTCCGCACACACAATGACCTCTACAGCTAGCTCCACACCYTCCATCAAAATAAAGCATATGCACTTGACCTGCACCTCCACTTCCAGGGGTCCACCTAACAAGCATGTCCCTGTGTGCACAGCACACTTTCACAACATGGCTTGCAAGTAGAAAGCCGCAGGAGTCACCCCCACATGTACCCTGACAGGTGACAGCACACCTGAGGGCTCCTGGCACTAAACAACATTCCAAGCAATGGGCAAGCACAGAAAAGTCTAGAAAAGGGCTAAGGACTAAACTGCCAGCACTTATTATAAACTGAAAAGAAAAGGGAAACCAACAAAGGTGGTGGAGGAAGGTCCAACAAGACAAAAAGAAAAACCAAGGAAGAGAAAGGAGCGCACAGCATTTGTGAAAGAAAGCCCCCTGGGTCAGGTCAGGGATGACCATAAGTGGCACCTCTAAGATTTTTAGGAGTATGGTGCCTAGAAGCTGCACTTGAAGGGAGAAGAAAGGGTCAGATATCACAATACAACAAGCAATTAAAGTCTGGCACATAGTAGGAAGTTGGTAATGGTGACCACTGCTCAGGAGGCAAGTCACCTGGATGTCACAGCACTCCCTGCAGGGCACTGTGGAAACACAGCGACCCAAAATGACTGGGTAGGAAACTGGAGTCGTCACCTTCCAGCACACACAGCAGCAGGAGGCAGCCAGTGAGAAGAGTAGGACATGCACAGCCAAGCTCAGGCCAAGTTTCCCTGCACCCTGGCACAGGCTCAGGGTCCTCCCTCACCTTATACAGCATTCTTCTCAGCCAGGTGGAGAACGCAAGCTAGTAGAGCAAATGGGACTCACTGTTGGCCAAGGAAGTGCAGAGGGGGACTGGGGAACCCTGGCTTGGCTCGGCTCCATGTACCACCACCACCAGGACTGCAATGAGGACCTCACAGAACTGGCAGAGTGAGCCCTCAGGAGGGCCAGAACCAGCCCTCATGGTGCCCTGGGGCTGGGAAAGCACTGCCACTGTTAGCGTAGGTAGACCCTCTCCCAACACAAGCAGACAACCAGTACAAAACATAGACAGCAGTGGCTGGAGCCACATGTGGTGAGGACTGAGACACAGGAAAAGGTTGAGGGTGCTGCATGGTGCCCAAGCCCACTATCTGGGAATTTCTAGGCCACAGATCAAGGGGACTCCCTGAGCAGAGGTGGTGGAGAGTCCAGGGTAAACAGAAGGACAGAGCATCCAGAACCAAAGATGAGAACCAAATATCAGGATACACAGCAGAATCCCAGAGCTCTGCCCTGTAGGGAGAACCCATGAGTCTAATCAGGGTGCCACCATCCAAAAAGAACCACTGGAAGGATTAACAAGAACAACCCTGGGACCACACACAGGGCCCCACCCAGTGCCTACTGTACCCAGCCACACTAAAATACCTCAAGAGGCATAAAGCACTGGGAGAAGACACAGAGAGGTCCAGGCTTGGTGGGGCAATCAGCCCAAGGCTAAATACCCCTTGGGTCCTGAGTTACGACACGTAAAAGCAAAACCTGAAGAATCAAAGTCACTCCCAGTGATAAAGCTGCACTCCAACACCGAGCTCTAGAGTATTTAAAGAAATGTAAAAATGTCTAGGATCCAGCAAGGTCAGCCTCACAATATTTAGCAACAAACCAGGCATGCATAATTCCACAACAAGAAGGGGAAGATCCATCAAAACTAAGCCATAATGACAGCTGTCAGAAGCAGCAGACAAGGATGCTGAAACACGCACTGTGACTACGCTCCATGTGTCCAGAATCAGGCAGAGACATGAAAGAAAAGACCAAAACTAAATTTCTAGAAATGGACAACAAAAGATCCAAGATGAAAAATACACCTTAAGGAATAAAGAGTAGGTTAGACACTATCGAAAAAAAAGGTAAGTGATCTTAAAGAAATAGAGAAACTAGACGGGTGCGGTGGCACACACATATAATCCCAGCAGCTTGGGAGACTAAGGTAGGAGGATCATGAGTTCAAAGCCGGTCTCAGCAATTTAGCCAGGTCCTAAGAAACCCAGTGAGACCCTATCTCTAAATAAAATACAATCAAGGCTGGGGATATGGCTCAGTGATTGAGTACCCCTGAGTTAGAAAGAAAGAAAGGAAGAAAGAAAGGAAGAGAGGGGAGGAGGGAGGGAGAAATGGGGCTGGGCATGGTGGTGCAAGCCTATAATCCCAGCAAGATGAGGGGCTGAGGCAGGAGGATTGCAAGTTCAACTTTTTTTAGTCTCAGCAACTTAGTGAAGCCCTAAGCAACTTAGTGAGACTCTGTCTCAAAATTAAAAACAGAAAAAAAAAAAGAGGTTGAGTATGTAGCTCAGCGGTAAAGTACCCCTGCGTTAAACTACCAATATAGTATGGTGCACATGCACATGCATTATCAACAACTTGAAAATAAAACTTAAAAATAATTCCACTTAAAATAGCAACCAAAAATAATAAAACAGGGCTCAGGGGTGGAGTTGGCACACACAAAGGCCTGGGCTGTACTGCAAAAAAAGTAAAACACTTAGAAATTAGTTTAACAAAAGAAGTGCAAGATTTGCATACTGAAACACTGCTGAAAAATTTTAAAGACCTAAAAAAATAGAAGATATCTCACCCACACAGATAAGACAACTAAATATTAAGATGACAACATTCCTCAAATTGATCAAATTGAATCGATGCCCTATCAAAATGCCAGATGTTTTTTTGGCAGATCCTAAAATTCATACAGAAGCACAAAGAAGTAAGCATAGTCAAAACTGTTTGGAAAAGGAGAAAGCAGGACTAACACTTCCCAACTTCAAAACAGATACAGCTGCAGTTGTCAGAACAGTGTGGTGCTGCAGAAAGACATGCAGACCAGCATAGAAGATCCAAGTCCAGAACGAACCCTCACAATGATGATCCACAGATTTTCAACAAGCATGCCAAGACCATTCAGAGGGGTAAGAAGAATCAGTGGTGCTGGGACAACTAAATGTGCACACACCAAAGAATGAGGTGAGTCTCCACCTCATATCATGTGCAAGCACTAACTTAAAACCAGCCACTGGGGCTGGGGTTGTGGCTCAGTGGTAGAGCGCTCGCCTAGCATGTGCCAGGCCCTGGGTTCCATCCTCAGCACCACACATAAAAATAAATAAAATAAAGGTTAAAAAAAAAACCAAAAAAACAGCCACAGTCCTAAACAATGAAACTTCAGAAAATACAGGAGYAAATGTTAACAGCACTGAGTCAGGGTAGAATTCTGATATGACACCTGAAGCATGATCACAAAAAGATCAATTTAACGTATAATTTTAACATGCAAAATTAAAAATATTTATGCTATATGCAATATAGTCAAGAAAGTGAAAAGACAACACACAGAATGTGAGAAAGCATTCGTATATCATCTATCTGATAAGGGATTTATATCCAGAATATACATAAAGAACTTAGGGCTTCAATGTGGCTCAGTGGTAAGCACTTGCCTAGCATTCACAAGGCCCTGGGTTCAATCCCCAGCACCACGGTGGTGCACACCTGTAATCCAAGCAGCTTGGGAGCCTGAAATAGGAAGATTGTGAGTTCAAAGCCAGCCTCAGCAAAAGCGAGGTGCTAAGCAACTCAGTGAGACCCTGTCTCTAAATAAAATACAAAATAAGGCTGGGGATGTGATTCAGCAGTCAAGTGTCCCTGAGTTCAATCCCTGATACCCCCCATCAAAAAAAAAAAAAAAACACTCGATACAACATAGTAATAAAACAGCAGACAACAATAACAACTGAAACAATCCAATTTAAAAATGTAAAAAGGCAAAAATTTTAAAGGTGAAAGAGCTGGGTGCAGTGGCACATGCCTGTAATCCCAGTAGCTTAGGAGGCCGAGGTAGGAGAATCACAAGTTCAAAGCCAGCCTCAGCAACTTAGTAAGACACTAAGCAACTTAACGAGAACCTGTCTCTAAGCAAAAAATAAAGGGCTGGGGATGTAGCTCAGTGGTTAAGCACTTCTGGGTTCAATCTCTGGTTATAAAAAATTAAAATAATAATAAGATAAAAGGTAAAAGATTTCAGTACATCTATATACAACATGGAAGTCCCATACCAAGTGAAAGCCGAGTTTCAGAAGACCATACACTGTATACTTCATTTACCTCTAATTTCCAGAGAAAGGAAAGCAGAAAGGGAAAAGGTAGAAAACCAAGTCTTCAGAGGAAAAAAAAGAGCTTGCTTAGGGAGGGCAGGGAATCAGGGATGGCTGGCTGATGGGCACAGCATCCCTTCACTAGTAACAGGAGAATATCAAGATCACAGTGAGGGCTGAAAAGCCAGGAACATACTAAAAACTGCCCAACAGTATACTTTATTTATTTTGTGGTGCTGTGAATTGAACCCAGAGGCATTCTACCCAGTGCTCCCAACCCCCCTTTTTTGGGTGCTGGAAATCACTCATGCTAGGCCAGTACTCTACCACTAAGCTACAACCCCCACCACCTTTCTTATTTTGATACAGGGTCTTACTAAGTCCCCAAGGCTTCCCTTGAACTTGTGGTCCCTCTGCCTCAGTCACCTGAGTCACTGGGATTGTTAGAAATACCAAGGTGTCACAAGAAATCAGACATGTGCTGGGCGTAGGGTGCATTCCTGTAATCCCAGTGGCTTGGGAGGCTGAGACAAGAAGATTGTGAGTTCAAAGCCAGCCTCAGCRAAAAAGGTGCCAAGCAACTCAGTGAGATCTTCTCTCTAAATTAAAATACAAAATAGGGCTAGGGATGTGGCTTAGTGGTAATGTGCCCCTAAGTTCAATACCTGGTACCCCTACCCCCTCCCCCCCCAAAAAAGAAAAAGAAATCAGACACTTGAAAGTGGGTGGGCAAGGCATTTACTCCTGCTAGAGGAGCATGAATGGAACCTTGTGGGCAGCTTTTATCCCYGACACAGTGCTGCTTGGAGGAGCTCAGGGGTAGGTACAATCTACATGATTAGCTAATTTTAAAATTGGGATAACAAAGGTAAGGACTAATAATTAAAATGGTTATAACTAGATCCAACTGAAGTTAAATGCTATATTCTGAAAATGGACCACCAAACTTTCTATTTCTCACAAGATTAGAGATGTGCCACCACAGCTGGCTTGATTTATACACTGTAAAAGAGTGAATTTTATCCAATATTAATCATACCCTCATCTGGGAAATGCTTGATGAACTTCAAGCACAAGAAACATGAAGAACACTACACCAAGGCCTGTCATAATCAAAATCAGATGGAAAAGATCTTAAACACTGCCAGAATTCAAAACAAGACAACATCACATTGCTCACTGGAATAGTGTAGCTGAGAAGACAGTGAGATGCATCCTTGAAGCACTGGAGAAAAAGGTATCACCCTGACTTCTACACCAACCATGAATACCCTTCAAAGACAAAGGTGCAATAAAGACTGTTTTCAGACACACAAAAGCAGAAAAAATTTCCRTAGGCAGACCTACACTAAACAAACATTAAACGCAGGCAGGAGAAAATTACACCTGTGGAGACCTGCACACAGAGAAGTACAGAAAGTCTCAGAAACAGCAGCAACAAGGTTGCAGGACCAAAGAAGTCTGGGCTGAAGGGTTAAGTTCAGAGAGGCATACAATCTGAGGTCTTGCACCTGAGCTTTTCTTTTTTCTTTCTTTCTTTTGTTTTTGCAGTGCTGGGGATTGAACCCAGGGCTTTGACATGCTAGGTAAGCACAATACCATTGAGCCATAACCCCAACCCTGCATCTCAGAATAATAAAAAAAAAGTAACAAGGCCTCAAGGAAAGGAGCACACAGTAGTCCCATCTACTTTGGAGGCTGAGGCAGGAGGGTCATGAGTTCCTGATCAGCCTGGACAACTTAACAATTGTCTCAAAAAGACCTGGGGATGTGGCTCAGTGGTAAAGTGCTTGCCTAGCAAGAGTAAGGGTCCAGGTTCAACACCTAGTACCTCTCCGCATAAAACTGCAAATCACAGAAAGGAGCCACATGGCCGAATAACATCCTATGAAACAAAGGACAGGTGCTGAGTGAGAGGAGGGTCCTGAGACCTAGGAACATATTGGGGCAGAGTTGACACAATCTCCCCAGGAGTCTCACAGAGGAAAGGAATAGCACACTCTTGAGCACCTGGAGCAGCAGCCAGCTCCAGATGATCAGTGAATAGCCATCTGCCTGTGGCACAGAAGGCAGGCTACAAAGCAGTGTGAGCATTTTCCAGCACAGAAGGGCCCTCCTGGCAGGACACGGCTCTGGGGAGTTAGGGTACAGGGCCATTACAAAGCACTTCTGCTCAGTAGAACCAAACAGCAGAAGCCTCATTTGCTTGTGGCTCCTTGGAGGGGACAACGGAAGACCACGCCCTAGGGGTGATCTAGATGAGCTTCAGAGGATTCTCCAGCCCCAAGTCTACAGTCAAGTGGAACATCCTCTACCCTATGTGAGGCCTCAGCTTGAGGAGCACATCTGCTTTCATGTGAACACAGGACACAGGGTAGCCTACCTGGATCCACTGCTCACGGTTGATCTCTACACCATTGGCCCGCAGTGAGGTGATGGCTCGGTCAATGATCTTCTCCACCATTTGCGTGTTCCCATTGGCCTCCTCAAGCTTGGCAGCTGTGATCCAGATGTGCCGGTCTGTAGGAATGTTCTCCCGTGCTTTGTTTAAGACCTTGCGGGCATTTTCATAAGTCTCCAGCCTCGCGAGAGCAAGCCAGAGCTAGAGAGGATATCAGAAAGAGGACGGTATGCTGACAGCCACTAGCATGGAGCACTACCCTCCAGACTTGGGATAAGCCAACTTCAAGGACCCCATGGCACCTGCTTTCTCAAAACTAAACTGGGCACACTGGCAGATGCCTGCAATCTCAGCTACCTGGGAGGCCAAGGCAGGAGACCAGCTTGAGCAAGTTGGTGAGATCTTGACTCAGAATAAAAATTTTCAAAGGGATGGGGATGCAGCTCAGTGGAAGATCATTTGCCTAGCATGTGCAAGACCCTGGGTTCAATCCCTACTATTGAGGGGGGAAAAAAATCTTTAAGGACCATTTAAACAAGAGCCCAGAAAATGTTTACAGCAACATTTCTCATCAATTGACCATTTGGTTGTGCTTCTGACTCAGCGACTGGTACACGAAAAGTTGATGGCACTCTTGATCAGAGGTCCTAAGCCCTGGATAAATGTATAGAGTATGTCAGCCTGACATCAGATGGTGGGGCAGTGGGTGAGCAGGGTGGGTTGGAGAAGAGATGGCTGCTCAGCCTTCTGGAATTCTCATCCTAGATCTGTTAATTCTGCATCACTCCATCCCAAAATGTGTATGGGCTCTATTTATTTTTATGTCAATAAAATAAGATTAATTGGAGACTTTCACAATGTCCCTTAGAATAATTAAAGACATACTGGATATCATAAAACCAAGACAAAAATCACTGCACAGAATGTGGTGAATTGCAATGCTTCAACTAAAGAAACCCCACCAGCCATGAGGTGAGGAGCTGAGCCACGAGGGGCTGGCAGAACAGCACACTGCTTTGCATACCTGCCACCCTTCAGTTCCCACCTATAAACTCTGAGGGGCATTAGAAGTAATATCCCCGGGGCGCTGGGGATGTGGCTCAGCGGTAGCGCGCTCGCCTGGCATGCGTGCGGCCCGGGTTCGATCCTCAGCACCATATACCAATAAAGATGTTGTGAAAAACAAAAAAAAAAAAAAAGAAGTAATATCCCTGAAAGAGTGCCCAGTGCAATTTTCTGTAGTGGTCTGGGGTGAGCAAAGATTTAGTTCTGCATGCTCATTCCCCAATTCAGGTACCCACTCCTGCTCTGCACTTCTGTCAGCATATGTCTAACTGAAGCCACCTACCACCCTGCCTGGCAGCTGTGCAAAGAAGCTGGGTTTCACCCTGCCTTCTACACCAGAAATCAGAGCCCAGGTGAGACCTTGCTCTTTGTGGGTTGCTGCAGACACTGAAAGGCTTGGGTCTTCCTGAGCCCAGCACACTTACCTCTACACTGGTGGGGCAGCACTCTACAGCTCGGCTGAGCATGATCCTAGCATCTTCTGGCTCTTCCAGTTCAACAGCCGCTTTCCATAAGCGAACAGAGTTTGGAACATGTTCAAGGGCTGGGAAAGGCAAACACAAAAGCAGGTCACAGAAAGGGGAAACAAAAGCAAGAGGTTCATGCAGGAGCATGCTGCTTCCAGCAAGAGCTGAACTCCCCTGGTCATAGCCAAGGGCTACAGATCTCAGCCAAGTCAGGTCACAACAAATAGAGCACCTGAACACCTCAGAAAGCAAGGGAGTAATCAAAGGCACTGGTCACACTGGCAGGACTCAGGACACAGGAGGAAGAATGAACCTCAACAACATGCTAGCCAGTACTAGGGCAGCGACACCAGTAGGCCCCACTTGCAATGACGATGAGCACAGGTGGAACTGGTCATGGTGGTAGGTGTCAGAAGGATGGCTGCGCTGGGTACACTGGCCCACACCTACAGCTTGGGAAGCTGAGCCAGGGGAATAGCAAGTTCAAAGCCAGCCTCAGCAACAGTGAGGCACTAAGCAACTCAGCAAGACCCTGTCTCTAAATAAAATAATTTTAAAAGGCTGGGGGTGTGATTCAGCAGATAAGTGCCCCTGGGTTCAATCCCTGGTATCAAAAAAATAAAGAAGAGTGGCTGCTGGAGATGAGGCAGTAAGCCGGGACAGTCTGTAGACCTGGTGGGGGAGGCAATGCCTACATCTTGGCAGGGCATGGGAGCATTTGGGAGAACCACAGATGGCACACCTTAACTTGCTTAAAAACAATGTTAAAAAATTCAAAAAACGTGTAATTTTGTATAACAATGAGGGTCTCCCTCCATTACCATGCAATTTCCCTTTTCTCTCCCTTTCCCTCCCACCTAATGTATCTGTTTAATGTTGATCTTTTCTTCCTGCTCTTCCTCCCTGCTCTGTTCTTAGTTGCTCTCATTATATCAAAGAAGACATTTGGTATTTGTTTTTTAG